TAAGTTGTTGCATTTGTTGGCATAAAGTTGTTGATTATTCTTTTATTATGCTTTTAATGTTATCAACACTCCTTCATTCCTGGTATCAGTAGTTTGCATTTTTTTCCTCCCTCTCTCTTATTTCAGTATAGCTAACGAATTACCAATTTTGTTGATCTTTTCAAAGAACAGTTCATGGCTTTAATTTTCTATCTCTTTCTCACTATTTTGTTAACTGTTCCATTCATCTCTACTCGTATCTTTATTATTTTCGTCTTTTTACTTACTTTGGGTTTCTCCTGTTCTTTTCTTAGCTTTCTAAAGTTGAACCTAAATAGCTGAATTAAGACCTTACTTCCCTTCTAGTATGTCTTTAAAGTTATATTTCCCTCTAAACACTGCCTAAGCTTATCTACTTTTTTTCAGTGTCATTCAGTATTTTCTCATTTCCCAAATAATTTTGTCTTTGCCCCATAAATTATGTAGAATAATGTCTATATAAAGTTTTTCTAGCTATTTTATTATTAATTTCTAATTTACTTAGACTGTGGTCAAATAATACTTTCATATGATTCTGATCATCTTAAAAAAGAGACCATGTATACCTGTAAAATGGTACATTCTATGGTTGTTGGATATACTGTTCTACAAACGCCAATTAGATCAAGCTGAGTTCATAGTATTTTCATATCTTCTATATCTTCAATTATTTATTTTTAATCTGGTTGTTTTATGTATCACTGAAAGAGATGCTATAAAAATTTCTTACTATGATTCTAGAATTGTCTATTTTTTTTCATTTTGTTAATTTTTGTTTCATGTTACTATCTATAGCAACACACTTATTTTTTTATCTTATCTAAGATTAAAATAAGTCCAGTCTTCTTATGCTGTTTGTATGGTGTATCTTTTACTATGTATCTATTTATAATCTGTTTCTTTATATTTCAAGTAAAATACAATCTTAGGTATTATATGGTAGCATCTTGCTTTTCTTCCCACTCTATAGATCTTTGCCTTTTAATTAAAGTGTCTCGACCAATAATTTGTAAACTTTCTCTGTAAAGGGCCAGAAAGTAAATATCCTAGGCTTTGTATTCTATACTGTTCTATTACTGTTACTCAGTTCTGTAGTTGTGTAATGGCAGAAATCACAGACAATATGTAAATGAGTATAGCCAAATTTGGCCTATGGGCATTAGTTTGCAGATTCCTAATTAGGACCATAAATATTTCATGTAATCATTAATACAGTTGGCTTAGCTCTATTTTATATTTTGTACTGTTTTATCATTCATTTTTTGTTCCTTTGTTACTTTTTCCCAACTTTTTTGGCTTCCTTGAATCTTTTTTAGAATTTAATTTTAATTCCTCTATTGGCTTTTTGGCTCTATCCTTTTGTATTTTTGTATTTTTTTTATTAGTTGTCTTAAGAGAGTATAGCATACACACCAAAACTTTCAGTCTGCTTAAGAGTTTATATTGTACCACTTATATCATATGAGATACAGTAACTTGGCAACCATAGATCCTTTTACTCCATCTTCCTCTAGCCTTAATGTTATAGTTGTCTTGTACATTCCATTTACATACACTGAAAAATCCAGCAGACAATTTTGTGCTTTTTGCCTTCAAGAGTCACACATATTTTTAAAATAGTTTTTCTCAAAATTATTTACTCAGCCATTTACCCTTTCTGTTGATTTTCCTTCATTCTTGAAGATCTAATTTTTCATCCAGTATCATTTTCCTTTATCCTGAAGAATTTCCTTTAGCATTTCTTGTAGAACAGAGCACCTGGTAACAAACTTGCTTAGGTTTCCTTCATCTAAAAATGGGTTTATTTCTCTTACATTTCTATGGGGTATCTTCACTAGGTTAACAGTTCTTCTATGTTGGAACTTTCAAAATATTGTTCTAATGGCTTCTGTCTCTTGTGGTTTTTAATGAAAATCTACTCTCATTCAAATCATTGTTTGCTTATATGGAAAGTGTCTTTTCCTGTAACTGCTTTCAAAAATTTTAAAAATTTATTTTTGGTTTTCAATACTTTAATCACAATGTGTCCAAATGTGTGTTACTTTGGGTTTATTCTGTTTGGGATAAGGTGAGCTTCTTGGATATGTAAAAGACTGTCGCTTCCCTCAAATTGGCAACGTTTTCTGTAATTATCTCTTCTTTTTCTAAATCCCAATCTTTTTCTCCTCTCCTCCTGAAACTCCAAGTAGTACACAATATTAGACCTTTCTGTTCTATAGCCATTAATGCACTGTTCATTTTTTTAAAAAACTTTTTTCCTTTCTTTTTCAAATTCAGTAATTTCTACTAATCTATGTTCAAGTTTAGCAACTCTTCTATCATCTCCAGGCTACCTACCTTTAAGCCCACACAATATGGTTTTCTTCCTTCAGGTATTGTATATTTTAGTTCTAAAATTCTATTTGATTCTTTTTTATACTTTTTATTCCTCAGCTGAGAATTATTACCTTTTCATTCAGTGTGCTTTCCTTTACAACTCATAAAAATTTCTAATAGCTGCCTTAGAGTCATTTTGTAATGTAATTATTTTAAAACAAGTTGAGAACGTGCAATTATGTGGGAGGAGTCAACTTTTAATTTTTGAATTTTTCCCAGAGTATACAGGGATAATCAGTGGGAAAGATAGGCTGATAAAGCTTATACTGCCATGCTAAGGGTTTTCCTTTTTAATAACTTCTTTGATAAAGGGTCTAAAGAAGTTGAATCTGTTCTTCTACATTCTATTTTGGCAGAGCTGCCATAATAAAGTACCATAAACTGGGTGGCTTAAAACAACAGAAACATATTGTCTCAAAGGTCTTGGAGGCTACAATCCAAAATCAAGGCATCAGTAGGGCCATGCACCCTCTGAAATTCTGAGTACAATCCTTCCTTGGCTCTCTGCCTAGCTTTTCTGGTGAGAACCAGTCGTCTTGGGTGTTTCTTGGCTTACAGCTCCAATAGTTCAATCTTTGCTTCCAGGTTCACATGGCAATCTCCCTGTATGTCTTTACATCATCATCCCTTTGTATGTGTCTATGTCCAAATTTTTCTGTTTTATAAGGATACCAGTCACACTAGGTCGCCCTAATGACCTCATTTTAACTTACTTCTGTAACAAACCTATTACCAAATGTTATATTCTGAGATACACAAGGTTAGAACTTCAACATATATTTTTGCAGGGACACAATTCAACCCATAACAGTTTGCCTTCCTTTTAGAAACATTTTAAAGCAACCATTAGCAGTAGCACTCGAAGAGTAATCTCAAATAAGGTAAGTCATTTCATAATTATTTTCTTCTATATCACTAAGGGTTATAATAGAAAGGCAAATGGCCATTAAACTGAAATGTTTAGTAGCATTCAAAAGTATTCACTACTGATTCCAAAAGAAATGACCTTCATGGCATGGTTCTCACACCATGTAATCCCAGCACTTTGAGAGGCTGAGGCAGAATGGTCACTTGAAGCCAGGAGTTCAAGATCACCCCAGACAATAAAGCAAGACCCTGTCCCTACAAAAAATAAAAATGAAATAAATTAGCTAGTCATGGTGGCATGTGCATATAGTCCCATCTACTTAGGAGTTTCAGATGGGATGACTGGTTGAACCTAGGAGTTTGAGGCTACATGAGCTATGATTGCATTACTGCACTTCAGCCCGGGGAACCAAGCAAGACCCTGTCTCTGGGGGGAAAAAAAAAAAAAAAGAAGAAAAAAAGAAGTAACTTTTATTATAATGGAGGATGAGTTTTTAAGTTTTTATGATAGTGTTCTTTTAATACAGCTGCCTTGTCATAATTCTAATTGTATGTATTTTTATAATATGGCTCTTACTGATCTATTATTAGTTCTAATCTTTTCAAAGTACACAAATACACATAAAAGTTAAATCAAGCAATATAGTCTATAGTAAAGACAGAAAGGCAGGAAGATAAGAAGGATGAGGATGGTTTCAATAAAGAGGCTCTATAAAATAAGGAATGCAAGCTGATTCAAGGAGAAGTATTGCTTGAAATAGGGGAGGAAATGGAGTAGGGAAGCACACAAATAAAAATACAGTTAACTGTCATGTGATAGTAAAGTGTAAAACATTTAATATTTTTATTTAATTCTGTTCCATAAAAAGTGAATTAAAACAAAACAAAAAATTTTAAGACAGAGTCTTGCTTTACTGCCCAGGCTGGAGTGCAGTGGCTATTCCCAGGTGCAACCATAGCACACTACAGTCTCTAACTTCTGGGCTCAAGTGATCCTCCTGCCTCAGCCTCCTGAGTAGCTGGGACTAAAGGCATGTGCCAAGAAGCTCAACTAACTTGAACCTACTTAAAAAAACACTCTTTAAACAGTGGCTTAAAACAATTAATGCTAAGATAAATATGGATTTGTCAATATTGACCTAGAATATCCAATAATATTCTAAAAAGGATTATTTTAAAATATAACTCTAGTATTCAGCTTTGACAATCTATGTAGAAAATATAGCATAGTCTATTTGAGGGTAAAGAAACAAGTGATAAATTGCATGCAACTATCTGTGTAAACCCAGGTGATCTAAATTCATATTAAACTGTAAAAGTGCAAGATACAACATGATTAGTCTATGACAACTGAAATCTTTTTTTATAAAAAACATTGCATGATAAGCAAAGAAGTTCTGAGTGAGAATCTGAATGAAAATTACATTTAATCAGTTCAACAGACTCTTCCAGTCTGAGAGTAAAATAGTTCTTCAGTGTTTAAAAACATTACATCTGCAACTGATTTCACTCCATCAGCCAAAAGATGCATTTGTGCTGCTTCCATTACATTTTCAGAAGAGTTTAAATTACACAAATTGAGAGAGCTTCAAAGCAATTCTTAATCTAACTACCCTGATCTTGATGGCCAAATTAAAAATAATTTAGGATACTTAAGAGAAACCCTTCAACAAAATGGATAACAATTGCTTTTAAATCACATTACTTTAAATTTCCTTTCATAAATCAAATGTACCAACCTGGGGATTAGAGCATTTTATCTCTAGTGACTCTAGGTCAACATGGAGACAGACAACAAATGAATGTCGTGTATCAGGTCCGGTAGCAAGTAGTTTTTGAGATGTGACAGCTAGAGTGGAGGTGCAACCCATAGGTTCCACTAGGCAAAGTGTCAATTGTTTTCCAAGAAGGGTATATATGCTGAAATGATGCAAGCTGATAGTCCAAGGAAAAGCATCACCTGATATGGGGACAAAAAGGAATAGGGAAGCACACAAGCAAAAATACAATTAATTGTCACTTGACAGTAAAATGTAAAACATTTAACATTTATGACTAATACTGCATCATAAAAAGTGAATATAGTATTCCTGAGATCAAAGTGCTAAACAATTTACATTCCATGTAAAATTCTTTCAGTAATTATATACACAATAAACCATATATTAATAGAAATTCTGTATATGAGATAAAAATAAAAAAAGAAGTTCTAAATTCCTCTTCCCATACCCTAGTCGGTTGTATTGTGAAACTGTTGGGGATGTATGCACCAGAACTTGGAGGCCAGAGAAAACAGATCAAATTATGTAAATCCAAGGTTTTTTCTGTGGGACTGAAAATGACCATAGATCTTGCCGTGGAATGAGAGAGGATAAGAAAAACAACCTAATATGGTCTGTTGGATGACCTGCATCAGAATCATGTGGGATGCTAATTTAAAATAGAGGTTCCTAGGACATTAGACCTTCTTCATTAAAACCTCTGATGGTAAGACTCAAAATGAATTTTGATATGTTCCCTAGATTATTCTTATATTTAAGTTATTTTGAAATAAAAGGTACTTGATAAAAAATTGGCACTCATAAATGTCAGAATTAAAAGCAAAATTCCCTTTTTATACTTTTAGCTTTTACTAACTTACCTCAGGTAAGATTAAATTATTAAGATAAACTCTGAGATAAAGCCATTTATTTCTTGTAAATATACAAAAGTAATTTTTGAAATAACTTTTGAAAGGCCACTTAGTATCAGAATATTTTTAAACATTTATTATGTATTTTGGACCTTATAATTCTACTAGAGCTTGTCAGTACAGAGAGTATAATATGAACATAATATTTAGTAATTATTTTAGAACAAATTGAGGACACTTATTTTCAAACTAGAAAGGTAATAGGTACCAGAGTGCAGATAATTTGGGAAATATAAGATATAAAGAAGAAAATACCAAAACCATTCATAATTTACCTTCTATCTTACCACCCCTGATAATAAATACTATTAACACTTAGTTATATTTCCTTCATATATATTTTTCCCTCTGTGGGTGATGGATGTGCCCAGGCAGATATGAGATCAGAGATCACTGCACTTGTAGTCTTACCTTGTTTTTTCATTGAAGGAAAAATATCAAGTGAATTGCTAAGTAGATGATACTATAAATATTTTAGAGTCTAAATATATATTCAAAACTCAGTAAGCACCAGAATGTAGGGTCTCATAAGTTTGAACATTAAAAATGTCTTGACCAAATATAGTTAATAAAATTATTACAAAATTATAAAATTAGAAACTTTGACTTGCATAATAAAATAAATCTAGCAACATAGTAGTTCACAATAACATGACTGGACGCAATGATAACTGCATAATAATATGTGGTCAGTACTGAGGTACTTTGCCTGTCTTAAGATTAAAAAGATTTTTCCCCCTAGGAAGAACAGCAAACTAAATCATCTGTAACTAATTCTAAAATTATTTTAAAACCTACATCAAATTCCACACTATTTAAGAAATAAAGGCTCTGCCAAATTTGTCTTAAAATATTTTGGAATGATTTCAGATTACATATTTTTAAAATAGTAATGAGCTATATATTTTTTTCAAACCTTTATTTTATCCAAGAAATGCTAAATGGTGGTTATGTTGGATGGAAGAGCACCAAATTTAAATCTGTTAAATTTTTTAAAATCCCAAATTACATTGGTACTATCACAGTTACATTTCTGCTGCTTCTTTGGAATCAGGTTAATAAACTGAAATTTGGCATATCATATTCTCTTTACAAAAAACCTTTTAAGGTAGTACTTTAGGTCCATTTATTTAGCATACAGATTGTTTTAAAAAGCACACTATACCTAGAAGAAGAAATGTTAACATGTAACAACAAAAATTCCCCAATTTCTCACTGTGAAAAAAATTCACAAAACACATTAACTGCACAAGTACTCCTTTCATACACACACACCAGAATAAAAACACCTTATCTACATGTAATACTAGCAAAATAATGTTCTGGGTACTCCATAAAATATGTTCAGACATCCATGACTGTCTAGAACCGCATACTATTCTGAGAACTTCATGTAGCTTTCTATCAATCTGGGATGACCTTCAAGATTAAGATTTTTATTTTACTTGGAAAGTTCTAATGCTACAATCTCAGTATTTTATTTTAGAGGAAATATTGCTGACAGGATTCAAAAATTTTCAAATAAAATGTCTAAAGAAAAAAATAAAGCAGGAAGATTGAGAATCCTATTTGTATGTGAATTTGTTACCCCTCTATATTATCAATAGAGAAAATAATACAAACAAAATACTTCTCAAAAAAATGATGACCAAACACTGATGTAATTCAGACCAAATAATGTGAAAGAAAGTGAATATGACAGAAAGCTTTGGGACAAAATGAATAAATAAAGAACAACCAGTGAGACTATGTGTTACATGTGTCAACGCCACGGGGTAGAGCAGGGAGGTCCTCAAAGGAACATATTAGCTTACAATTGAGTGAAAATTAAAAAGAAAATTACAGTGGATTTCTTTATATGGCATTGCATGTTGCTGATTTTACACCATGCTATAATCAGATTATGGTTTACATGACACAAAAATAATTTTAATCATATAAATATAAAAATGTTTTAATAATGTTGGGGTTACTTAACAGTGACTATATAAACCCTTATCACATAAATATAATTTATGATTCTGAATCTTTTTGGGTAGGAATCAATATTCTAGAAAGATAATCAGTCTTTCCCTTTCAAAAGACACTCTACTATACTACAGGAAAAAGTGTATGTACTTGAGGCCAGTGTGAATCACCTTACAAATATCTATTTAGCAAATGTGGAAAAAATGTTGGTTAATATTGGAGATACTTTCCTCAGTTTTCTTTGTTTTCATTACCTTAGTCACTGAATGTTTAATGTCAAAAGAAATAACAACAAAAAATGCCTTCCTCTCCTCCCAGTTTTTTCCTTATGTTCAACAAGCCAGTGTGACTCAGTCAGGTTTGCATTTCAAGTATGAACTAGTATAACCAGGAACATTCATCACCTATTGTGAAGGTAACACTTGAGAGAAAGATGTACTACAAATGTATATAGGCCAAGATTGCTGAGACTGTTTCCCCAAACCAGTTAGCATTTAATTTATTTAAAGACAGTTAAGGCCAGCCAAGGTGGCTCACGCCTGTAATCCCAGCCCTTTGGGAGGCTGAGGCGGGCAGATCACCTGAGGTCGGAGTTTGAGACCAGCCTGACTAATACAGAGAAATCCTCGTCTCTACAAAAATACAAAAAAAGAAAAAAAAAATTAGCCAGGCGTGGTGACACATGCCTATAATCCCAGCTACTCAGGAAGCTGAGGCAGAAGAATCACTTGAACCTAGGAGGCGGAGGCTGCAGTGAGCCGAGATCAAGCCATTCCACTCCAGGCTGGGCAACAAGAGCGAAACTCCATCTCAAAATAAAATAAAATAATAGGTAAGATAAAGTGTTTGTTAATTCTAAGTGATGTTAATTTAAGTAACAGGTACTTTTTAAAAATTCAAGATATTATGCATGATATACAATCCATCTTCATAGAAGACGAAGACAATTGAAAAGTGCAGAAAGAAAGGAAATGAAAATAAGCAACCTACAGTTTTATTTGTTCTGTAATGAAAATTCTACATTTTTAATACTGTTTTGTATTAGGAAATATGAAATATACTGCATGTACAAAATATAATAATAATGATAATACTATTAAGAGATAATTGATTTCAAATTTGTGAAAAATCTTTTACATATAGAAATCTATGTCACTACTAAAACTACTATTTACTTCTAAAAGTCATTACTGGCTTAATCATGACTTATTCATCAAAATTTCATTATTCATAAAGAAATATAATACTCTTTAAGATTCTCTAAAACATTATTTCAATTGCAAAAAATGCAAAACTAGAATAATCACTGCTTTTAAAAGAAGAAGAGACTGAAAAGAATAGCATTGCCCTTCAGACAACAAAGGTATTAGTAGTTCCCCTATAGGTTTGAAAAAATATGAATATTATAACAATGTGTGACTTAGAGTAAATTGGTATTGATGACTCCTACTACTCTATAAGACAAGATTCTAGCAGTAACATCAGTGCAATGGGATGGATAGCTGTCTTGCTCAGTACAGGTCGTTATAACAAAATACCATAGACTAGTGGCTTAAACAATAGATATTCTTCTCTAAGAACTCTGGGAATTCTAACATCAAGGTGCTGGCAGATTTGGTTCTTGGTAAGAACACTCTTTGAATCTGGATTGTAGAGAGTTACCTTCTTGCTCTGTTTTCACAGAACCAAGAAAGAGGAAAGGCTAATATTTCTTGCTTTTCTTCTTAAGGCAATAATCCCACTGACTCCAACCTCATAATGTCACAGAAACATAATTTCCTCCAAAATGGCCCACCTCCTGACCATCACATTGGGTGTTAAAGGTTCAACATATGAGTTTGAGTGAACACAAATATACAGTCCTTAACATTATTATAGGTATAGATAAAACTGATATCTGTGCATATAAGAAAGGAACAAAGAAGCCAGGTATGTGAAAATCTTATGGATTTGTAAACCATCAGTGAAAGATGATAGCTAAAGTTTAGGGAAGCTGTACATATAAAGAATACTGTATTTAAGAGAAAGGCAGAGGAAAGGGAAAAACAGCCCATGAAGAACATACATAGGGAGTGGCCAAGAGCCACAGAAAACCAAAAGAGAGTGGTTATCCAGGAGTTAGGAAGGTACTCAACAAGGAATCAACCAATGATCTCAATAATTTTAAAAAGTTCTGTTCGATTTGACAATTAAAAGGTTTATTTTTCTGATTAGATAAGGTGAAAAGATACCTCAATATTCTTACATGCCAGCATGGGGAAAATACAGAGTTTATGAGCAAGTTCTCAAAAAACACAGTA